ATGAGATGTATGTAGTGCAATCCCAGGAATCTTTTCAACTGAGTGGTATACAAAGGAATATCCTTTGCATTCATTCGACTCCGCTTCAGAAAAGAGAGCTTCATCTCTAGTTTAGCTAGACTCTGCGAGCAGGGTAACAAATGAAGCTAATGTGCAATTTTTCATACTATCCATGATGAGACAATTGAATATATTTTGACAAAATACTTTGATGGGTCCCAACAACAGCATCTATGAGAACTAGAAAACTGGATGAAAGCTATTGACCTTAGCAATGTAGGGAGTTGGTACATAGAGATTATCCTTATGAGGTTCAGGATATTGGGATTATCCCGAGGCCAATATAATATATCTCCCCGAGGGCCGTAGGTCTGTAAAGAAAGGACAAACTCAATCCAAGTCTACAATTACACAGAGGACACAATTGGACTGAAGAGTGCCGAGTATGAAGACCTCATTGACAAAGTAAGGTGTAAAGAGTGGAAGGTGAGACACTTTCCAGAGCATGTAGGCTTTAGAGGCTTCCAATCTCTTCTGTTCTTCTCGGAACATCATGTTGAGAGAACTAGGTCTGCAGCCTGTGAACTTCAAAATGGCATTAAAGGAAATAGGTTAGATGGTTGAGTCATGCTCCATGTGAATGTGGTAATTTATTTTGGCAGCCAGTTTGGTGACCATTTTGGATTTTAATATGAGGAAAGGTTAGGATAACTTAAGTAAAGGCTTAGTAAATTGAAACCATTTTCTCCTGAAACCCAGTCTCAGATATCTTTAAAATAACTATTCTAATTTGTCTATGTGCTTATAAATTCATTTTTGCAGCCATTTTGGCAGCCATTTTAGATTTCTATATAAAGTTATTCTTTAATCACTTCAATTTACACATGAATAGAATCCTTAACCTCTAAAACCTCACCATGGTTTGCAAAAAGCAACAGTTTTTTGAGTTTACATAAAAAGTTACGTATTCATTTTGACATCCATTTTGGTGGCCATTTTGAATTTCTATGTAAAGTAGTTCTTTGATTACTTAGATTTAGAGACAAATAAAATCCCTAGCCTCTAAAACCTTTTCATGGTCTCCAAAGTCACTTTTTAACCGTTCTTTGAGCTTTTTGAACTTATATCAATAGTGACATATTTGTTTTGACATCCATTTTGGCGGCCATCTTGGATTTCCAATTTTTTAATGACTTAGATTTTGACTTAAATGAAATCCTTGACCCCTAAAACCCTTAGATAGACCTCAAAATCACTGTTTTTGTCTCTCAGTATGCTTAGATATAACTTCTTTTATTTGGTAGTAAGTGCACCGGCGGCCATTTTGAAAAATGGGTGATAACACCCATTTAGCTGCCACTCCTGCAATGCTATCATATAATTTCTTACTCTAGAGGCTTATTCCCCTAACTTGGTACCGATAACCTAAATTTTGGGGTGAAGCTGATGGCCTACTTCGTTTAACATGTATTTCGACATAATTTATAATAATTTTTATATACCCTTCTTGCTATTGTATAAGGTAATTATTCGAACTGAATTTTATGAAATATCCTCTATGGTTATTCAATTCACAGCCCTTCGAAATAGCTCTCAATTGATGATTTGCGATCACCGAATGGATTCTATCTTGTAGTGACGTCACAATTAGGTCACCTAGCTCTAGATGTTTGATTTTGAGAGATTATCTTCTATATTTCGTGCTTTATTGATTCATTTTTCATGAAAGCGCTCTATTTGACTAGATCAACATTCATGCTAAGCACATACCAAGTCTAAGATCTTACTGACATGATTTAGATAGCGGTTAAGCGCCCCCCGATTTTGACAAAAACGGGGGGCGCTAATAGGCATCGATGTTTAGTATGAATTTCACCCAAACTTCGCACATATATAGAAATAATCATGATCTAGTCAATGTGGCTTAACTGGTAAATATCCGACTCATGGTTTTCATAAAAGAAACGACAATATTTTTAGCTCAAAACTGCCAAGTGTCCGCCATTTCGTGATTCCATCATGTCTAATATCATTTCTATATGACGTCACACCAATAAGACGAAATACATGACAACAGTATCCATAAACAAAATTCCTGAATTCTGATCGCAAAAGGTCAATTGAATAAAAACACCCTAAAAGGCGTGTTCAACGTTTCAACGAGGAACGAAACGAAATGGCCATGTAGAATGTAAAAGTATATATCTTTTTAACTGTTCCATCAATGTTAATGATATTTTCAGGATAATACCCTTTTTCATGGATCATCAATTCTATGCATAAATATTTACAAATAACGAACAGCGTATGACGTCACAATAGCTATTGTCGCAATCGTAATTGTGAGTGACTCGTGTTCAACTCTGCCTTATTCAGCCTGCGTATGGTACTTAAATGTAGATTTTGTGAGTTATATAGCAGTTTGTCATACAGTTGTTATATTGTTAGATCCGGAAAAGTTTCACGAACATACTGAAACTATACTTATCAGTGATTCAGATGTAAACGTATCAGCCACGATGGATTTTGTACGAATATTAGGAGTGAAGCCTCGTCAAAATTACGTTATTTTTTACCACGGTAGATATGTTCTAAGCCATCTAAGTCTTTTAAATTGCAATGAATCATTTCAAATTCTTATTGTCAACAATAAAGAAAATGTTTGTTCTACAAAAAAGTATATTTGATGACCTGGTGGCCATATAAACCTCGTAAATTCTATAAAATATTGAAAAATGTCCAAGTGAAGCCTCCGTGATAAAAATCCCCGTTAAAATCAATTGGGCATTTTCGATCTATGCGAGTGTGAGTATTTTAATATTTTGAGTCCTAAAAAATATTTTTCTCAGCTGCGCATCAGGTGATTATAATGTATTAAAAAATTAGAGACTCTATTTTAGTTTTTCACCTTTTAAAATGAATGATACCAGAGTCTGGACTAAATGTGCATAGACCGTTTTGACGTCATTTTACACACAAAATGGGGACTTTGTGTCCCCTTTCATCGGAATTAGCGAGGACAGATTTTATTAAAATAATTTGATAGCTTTTTTATTTGCCTGCGCATGCTCCATACATTACAGTGGTACCAAATGATAGGGTAAACCATACTTCTTCATGAACATATACCGTATTCTTTGAGTCTTAAAGATTCCGATAAATCGGGCTACGTATACCGCCGTATTTACATAAGGGGATTAGAAGGGTTTATTTTTTATTTAGGTATGCAAGCTATATAAAATTAGGCCTTCTCGCATGCATGTACTCGTGTGTACAATCAGCATGCCCTTCAATATTATATAAACACGGTGTTACTATACCAGGCTATTCAATATGTACTACATAATGTACACTATTTATGTGTGGGAATACGATTCCCGGGTAAACAAAAGACAAATACTTTTTATATGTCCAAAATGAGCCATTTGATTGATACATACACTAAATAGTTTCATAAATAACATCTACAAAGTACATCTAATAGTAATTTTCAATTTCAAAGGTGAAACTTCCCTGGTTACGATTATACGGTAAATCATCACGAGACGAAGATTGATCGCCTTCCTTGCTTACCTCTGAATCGTGTACCCGGTGATCTCTTTATATAGTTTAGCGAGAACGCTGCGCCTGCGCAGTATTAAACTTTGGCGCACACTTTAAACTTTTCCGCGCTATATAGGGTTATAATACGCGTGAAAACGTAAAAAGCGCGCGATTGATGAGTCCCGCATCAAAAGTTAACAGAACAAATTCTCTACAAATCATAACTTTCAATCATGATGAATTCTCATTTGAAATAAAGATGCACATGTCATTTTGATGTAATGATTATCTATTGATATTATTAATGATTATATCTTGTAGGATTTGCATATAAATTCATCAAAAATGGAAGATTAGTACAAAGTTTTCAATTTTATAGTTCAGAATATTTGTCTTGGTTTCCATGTTTATTCAATTTTAAATCGATGTTTTAATTGAAGTTGCTTGGTTTGTTTTGAAATACCCTTTCATCGATTCATTCCTAAGATAGAATGTAGGTAATAAAAATGTAATGTGTCATTTTCATAATTTTATGTACATGCTTCAGTGAATTTCGAAGGAATAATGACGTCGTCGAATGTTCGTCAAATTGCGAGAATATTTTTCATAACGTCACATTTTATTGTTTTCTGCGAAACGGGAGTGTGCACCAATAGCGTACTTATAGTATGATACATTTCAATGGTGACTGTGATATATCTCTGTTGTTTATGTAATTGTACACTATTTTACGAAGTATCACATTCATGAATAAACTAACTACAGGTGTAAAACAACTTAATTATGTAAGTAATAACAACTTGATTAATGGTGATTGAAATTGTAATTACGCCACAGGGCGATATTTTCTGTCAGTTGCCTAAAGATTTCAAAAGAAAAAATGCAAACCAGGGGCAAGTTTTAATCAAATATTAAAGTCCTAATGTTAAATTTGAAATATCATTTAGAATAACTTTTCATGACTCTAGGTCATTTGGGACTTTTGTTCATCTTATATATAATTCTCAAATATTTGAATTTCCTGCCAACAAAAGTTGAGATTTTTTCAGCATCAAATATGACACTTAAAACACAATTTCTTAACTCCATTGAATAGAGCAGGTTGAGTCACATTATTTCAACCATTCAATCTTTCATTTTGTACATATATTAACTATTACATTTTTACAGTTTTTTCTCGTACAAATATTTTCCGAATATTCAAAATCCTCAAAATAAAGTAATATTGTTGCTATCTTGGTTGTAAATAAGTTTATGTTTATAAAAACATTTATGTACCAAATGTGGCGCCATTTGATGTGAAGAAACCAGAGGACTATACAAGGATTATACCTTTTAGAGAATTTATATGGATCCTCACATCTTATGCATCACAAATTATTGGTTTGGATAATTTATTTAAAAACTGTTGCTAAAGATACATGCACAAGAGAGAATCAACGATTTTCAAATACCATCAGAATTTTATTGAGCAAATGAAATGTTTTACAAATGATAATAAGCATATTCAATACGTTCAAGCCCAAGATAGTAATATGGCCGTGCTTCGTTGTACTCCCCTTTTCGTGAATAATCGACTAGCATGGTTTCATTGTTGAAGTTCCGTATAAACATTTTCATAACCAGAAGTCGAGTGATTCTAAATACTAAATCTTTTATTGGTGAACAAGTCCAACTACACTTAATGAATGTTCATATTTAGATGGAGACTGTGAGAGCCGATGACATGGTCGCTTTGTAACTTGTCCAATCTGCTTCTGGATGAACGTCTGCACATAACCACTGCTCCGACGAGCGTAATAACGCACATAACAGCAAGTCCAGCAGTGTAAGAGTAGTAGGAATATACACTCAGGCTATTTTCTACTGGACTGTAGTTTACAGATTCTGAAATTAATAAAGTAATGTTTAGCATCTGCAAATAAACTAACTATACATTTTTTCAAAAATATACAACTGCATGATTTCAAATTCAATTTGCTGAAAAGTGAGTACATACTGCAGTAAATATAGGAAGGTACAGACAATGATCAAATGATGACTGAAACTCTTACCCCACCTGTGATATGTTACTTACTCTGATGACGTAAATATTGTTCAAAATATCATTGTAAAATCAAATTTAAAATCTCCGTCAGGTAACATTGACATGCCTATAAAAACATTGCGTCCAACAGTTTAAACTCTCTATTATTTCTCCTTCCTTTGTTATCATACCTTGTTTGGCAGCTGAGTTGACGACTTGGATACATTCTGTGTAGCTTGCGTCGCAATTTGCGGTGACGGGATTGTAGTTTGAGTCGACACAAGTAAACTGTTGACTTGCGAGAACGGAGAAGAACCTGATGCTAGTCTGGCACATGTAGAAGAATTTACAATTGTAAGAGTCTGGGTATCTTCCTCCAGAAACACCGTTGCAGTACACTGTAAAATAATGTCGGGGATATAAATGTAATTTAAAATGCAGTATTAAGATTGGCATTTCGTATTTGTATTTAAGTTTTAATTGTAGGTAATACTCAAAGATTCATCCAAACTAGTATGTAAGTGATAGGATCTTACCGGCAGCAGATGGTGTCAGAGTTACTGTTGTCATTTCAAATGTGGTTGATTCAGCCGTTGTCTCTCCAGAGACGGTAGAAACAGTAATAGGTGTAGCTGTACTTCCTGCTAGTTCTCCCTGCATACCCTTTACTCCACGATCACCAGGAGGTCCCCGAAATCCAGTGTTCCCCTTCAAACCCTTAGGAGCTGGACCAACCGTTCCTTGTGGTCCTCCTGTGCCAACTTCTCCAGGTGGTCCTATCGTGCCCGGGGGGCCACTTGTTCCTGGCGGGCCTTGTGGTCCTGCAGTTCCTGGTGGACCTCCTGTTCCTGGTGGACCTCCTGTGCCTGGTGGCCCTCCTGTACCCGGTGGACCTCCTGTACCTGGTGGACCTCCTGTCCCTGGAGGACCGCCTGTTCCTGGTGGACCACCAGTACCCGGTGGGCCACTTGTTCCTGGAGGACCTCCTGTTCCAGGTGGACCTCCTGTTCCCGGTGGACCACCCGTGGCTGGCGGACCTCCTGTTCCGGGTGGACCAGCAGGTCCACTTGTTCCAGGTGGACCACCTGTTCCTTGTGGACCCCCTGTTCCTGGTGGACCACCTGTTCCCGGTGGACCTCCTGTCGCTGGTGGACCCCCTGTTCCTGGTGGACCCCCTGTTCCTGGTGGACCGATTGTTCCTGGTGGACCGCTTGTTCCAGGTGGACCTCCAGTGCCTGGTGGACCTCCTGTTCCTGGCGGACCTCCTGTTGCTGGTGGACCTCCTGTACCTGGAGGACCTCCTGTTCCTGGTGGACCTCCTGTTCCTGGTGGACCTCCGGTTCCTGGTGGACCTCCTGTACCTGGTGGACCTCCAGTTCCTGGTGGACCGCCTGTTCCTGGTGGGCCACCTGTTCCCGGTGGACCTCCTGTTCCTGGTGGACCACCTGTGCCTGGTGGGCCTCCTGTTCCTGGTGGACCTCCTGTGCCTGGTGGGCCTCCTGTGCCTGGTGGACCTCCGGTTCCAGGTGGACCCCCTGTTCCTGGTGGACCTCCCGTTCCTGGTGGACCACCTGTACCTGGTGGTCCACCTGTGCCTGGAGGACCACCTGTTCCTGGCGGACCTTCTGTTCCTGGTGGACCCCCTGTTCCCGGGGGACCTCCTGTTCCCGGGGGACCTTCTGTTCCGTCAGCTAGAACATGAAATTTGAATTTTAGAAATATTATATACTTCCAATCTAAATCTGTTATATATGCAAATAGGAATACTGATTTTAGTACAAAATAAATTAAAAGCAGTTTACTTTGAGCATCTACGCCACCATGCTGTTCTAATAGTTGGGTTATTGCAATCGATGCAAATATGCAAAGTAGAACTTTCATCTGAAACAAACGGAATAATATTATTTAAACATAATAATTCGGTGATTGATTTAAATGATATATTAAAGAATAATTTACTTTAACATTTTATTGATTGTTGCTATCAAAATATGTTCCTTATCACTACTGGAGTACAGGTCAAGTTTATCAGAGCAAACCTAGATTTTGTCGATTTTGCAAAATTAACATTTTTAAATAGACATACCTTATAAGTTCAAAACTGCATGCATACAAGTTGATCTATCAGATGTTTTGCATCATATCTCGGATTCAAAAGCTGAAATGAAGATACGTCTATATAATCTTTGGAAACAGACCGACAAATTATACAATGCTAAGTTATCTCACCATTACATCGGAACACATTGACAACGGCAACGTCAGATTTCGTTGTCATATCACCAATGGCGGACGGATGATCGTATTTGATTCGATTTTCTTCAACTTGCATGTTAAATAGAGCACGTCGATTAAATTCCTTTGATACAATAGTTGATAAAAATGTCTTATTGCTACTTATAGTAGGGATAAAAAGGATGTTCTTAAAAATATGGCACTTGACAAGGGAACATGTGTTAGTATTTGCCGTTGTTCTGTTTATGATGACTTGAAAGTAGGCATAGTGTGACGATTTACAACCACATTTAAACGGAACTAGTATTCCATTTATTAAATCGTCACGAGAATTAAATAAATGCAAAATAGCGCTGATGGTGATCCATGAAATAAGAACGAAGCAATCAAATAGCTGAAACACCAGTTGCGTCCGCCATTTGTGACAACGGAAACTGACGTTACCTTTTCAGGGTGTTCTGGTTTGACCATGAAAATACTGCAATCTATGTTTTTGAGAAAGATTAGTACAGATAATTGCTTTTTCACTTGGTGGTCATCAAAATTAATGGACATATCGAAAATTAATGTTTTCCATGATTTTAACAAAAATAAAAACCTGTTCTACGTGTTATGCATATGATTGATTTATTCTCTATATGTTTTTTGAATGACCCTGGATTATCTATTTATCATAAAGTGGGTATTAAACATTAAAAATTTCTCGATAGCTGAAATCAAAATACCTCGATACTCCCTTGCCCGGCGTGGAACAATTTAGTAAAAACATTTCTATGTAATTCTCTAGCACCAAGTATTTCGTCAGAAAATGTACATGACGAATATTATGGTAATATTTTATTGGCAGTTCTAGTCTTTAAAATACGAATAATTTTTACACCAAATTGGTCCACGCCGTGCAACGGAGTATCGAGTTTAAACAACGGCTTCCAATCCTCTTTGTAATGTAACCTACCTTGGAAATCTCTTATTATTCCGATGACAGTCTCCCCAAAAAGGGCCTTTTAATCCTTAGCTTGCAATTTATGTCAGTATGAATCAAAATACAAGTAGATATGTTAATTAGATCAAAAATGACAATGTAGGATGAGGGTGCGTTCTGTTTCATGTAACATTAATAGTAATTTTCTCAGGATGTAATTAAAATGCTTTGGGCAATTTAATAAATTAATTGTAATTGTTTCTTCCTCGCGCGTTGTGTAATAAAATTGGGTTTGTAATTTGATAATTATGGAGTGGCGTTATGATTTATATTAACTGTGTAAAATAAGACCTTACATTTGACAAATGTGTTGAGATGTGAGGTCCTAATCAATGATTTTTCGGGAAATGAGATTGCTGAATTTATAATCCTTGGGACCTTACTCAGATGAAAACATTTGGTATTGAAGAGGAAAGTCGTTCCCATGTTGGGAAAATACTCATGGCAGAATATGATCAAACATAATATTAGCAGTGGTGAAAAAAATTGCATGTGGAAGTCTATTAGGACTGATACTGGACATTTGTCATGCCCATCGTTGTTTCATGGATTAAACCATTAATTAGAGGCTTGCACTTTCCTCCAAAAGTTTGGCAACCTAAGCTCGCCCATTGGACTACTTGTTAAAGCCTCTGTATGTTTAAATTTTTCTTTAGATAATTTGCAATGAAAAGAATTAATGATAACTTGACTCTATTTCCAATACCGCTAAATCTTTCAGGGAGACGGTCTCTTCATGTCTGATTCTGCTTTTAAGTGTTTGTTTTACGTTCTGTGATTTCTCATGCACGCCCCACGTGTATTACATAATTCCTGTTTATTTGATTATATTTGTTGTCCATTTCTTATCTCGATGTACCTTAATTGTCTTCGAGAGACCAATAAACTCTGCAGCTGCACAGCAACAAGCCTGCACTACTGGTAAGGCGGGGTGATGTCAACGCGGTAGCCTGACAGTCGCCCCAGGGTATTTCAACATAGAGGGACTTCCTAGGGGGGTACAGGTGCCAACCAGGAAGGTTCCTTTCAATTTTAAAATGAGTTGTAAACCATAGATCTATTTTTAAATGTTAAGGGTTCAAATTATATTCTATTCAAATTCTATCACTGTTAAATTATATCTGCTTTATATGGGCTTATTCGCCTTTTGCAGATTATTGACATAGACATAGACTCTCATGTTCGAGTAAATCGGAGTTATTCGCTATAATCTTTTACGTTTTTGTTGATGTTGTCTGATCATTCTCACGTATGCTGGTTTATTAAGTACTTCGGTGCATTTTATATAGTTTAGATTTGAAAGTTTTTATTCACATTTGAAGAATTACAGTGTATCAAAGAAAGGAAAGAAATGCTGAATCAAAAAAGTGACAAGAATATCATGCAACATCAATGTGCATAAACACCGTATCATATTATGATTTATCATCAGACCACAGATTTCATGTCTGGGATCAAACATCAACAACTGTAGGCACAAAATGCCCATCAATCTTTAAGAGGTTGTCACTCTCTTCCATTTCATAATCAAGGATATCACCTTCACAGTTGTCCATTGGGGTTGGAATAATATTTGATTCAATTTCATGATGGTTATCCGGATTATTCTTTGTAACTCCCATAACTACTTTAAGGTGCTTTTTGCGCCAAAACGGCACAATTATGCTTATTGCACTAGTAACAATAACGCCGCCTCCAACAATGAAAGACCAGCTATACGAGTGAAGGCTGTCGTACAAAAAACCAGCGACTGGACCGCCGAGCATGGTCCCTAATGCGCAAAATGGAAGAATCGCACCAAGACCACTGGCTAATTCACTGGCTCCTAAGAATTCACAAATCATTCCTGGTAAAAGTACTCCATATGATGCGCTGAAAAATCCAAATGTTGCAGAGTATGCAAGAAGCGCCCCATATTGGGTTAGAAGAGGCACAGCTAATGTAACTGCACCACTTATAATAAATGTGCATATATAAAGTAGCACTTCATCTGTTAATGGATGGTGGCCAATTGCTCCAAAAATAAATCGTCCGGCGAGATTTGTAATTCCAATAACAGAGAACAACATGAAACTTTCGTTACCACCTATACCCATTAGTAAGGATTTTTTCCGACAGGTGCGAGTACACTACAGACATTCCAAAACACATTGCTACATTATTATAGCATAATATATCAAAATCCAACGATTTGAATATGGCAAAGTTAAAAAGTTTTTCCTCTTTTGTCATGTTTTGTTCCTTTTCTATTTTCAGTGTTGGGTTATTTCTAAATGGACGCATAAATGCACCGCATGCACAGATGTTCAATCCAATGGCTGACAATATGGTCAAAGCCCCACGCCAACCGTATTCCTTATTGAGGAACTCGATCAATGGCGGGTATATAAATGAACCGCATCCTACACCAGCTACTGCAATCCCAAAGGCAAATGTCTTTTTCTTGTCAAAATGTTGGTTAATTATCACCATAGCTGGGAGATACGCTAGCCCCAACCCACTTCCTGCAAGTAAATCACTCAGATATATCAAATATAATTGAATTTCGCACAATTTATGCCCGAATTTATGGCACTTGGTAACATTCACATGATGGCAACGTTATTTTAGACTAGTATAAAGATGGCAGTATAGTGCTGGCTCAATACAAACAGGTTGATTGCACTGCCATCTTTTAATGAATGTCATTACGAAAAACTCCTACCTGTTATGATACTGTAACAACCGGGGGTCACACTCGCCTAGCCGTGTTACATAAAATTATGAGATGTTACAAATATACTTGAAGTTTCTGTGGTAGCGTATATATGGCCTTGACTAGGGAGTGTGTTAGTTGTTATGAATTTTAATCTGCTCTTTACTGACAACTAACTGTCACACTGATCTCAATAATAACATAAAATATGATTTGAATAAAATATATATATTATGTAACCAACTAAAAGTATGAAAAATATGTACAATGAGTATTTACAATGAAACTAAGGTCTTTCAGATGGTTTATCAAACAAGATACTGTAAATACCTAACAAAACAGTTTTCAATCTTATTACCAATCTGACCTTATATAATACACACAACTACTTCATGTAGATGCTCAACTAAAACCTTGCAAAATTAGTATGCTACCTTAAGCTGGTAATATTCACTGCTCAAAATGAGACATAATTCTGAATATATATCTGACTGGAATCAACGATAGCAACTAAGAAATGATGAAAGTTTGCAAAATTAGGTCACTTGACTTAGCCGTCTATTTCTGTTCAATACTAACTTCCTTACCCTATTTAACTTGATCTATCTTATCCTAGGTCATTTACTGTTAACAGAATCATATCCTATCCTATCTTAGGACCTTAATATTCTGGCAGAAAGTTCAAAGCTAATCGTTTTCTTCGGATTACAATGTTTTTTTAATTTTTCAGCATGAATATACGTGCTGAATAAAAGACTGACAAATTTCCTGGAAATAAATTCCCTCTTAGTTGAAGAACAAAATGGGTTTCGAGAAAAAAGGAGCTGTCGTGATCAGATTCATACTCTGTATTCAATTGTAAACAATCGAAAACTAGCAAAACAGGACACTTATGTTTGTTTCATTGATATGACGAAAGCGTTCTGTAGTATTAATCGTGACTGCTTGTGGTTCAAACTCAATAAGATCGGAGTAAAGGGTAGGATCTTTAAGGCTGTCCAGTCCCTGTATCAAGATGTGACCTGCTCTGTGAGGATTAATGGCTTGCTAACCCCTAAATTCAAGGTATCCAATGGATGTAAGGAGGGCTGTCTGCTTTCTCCGACCCTGTTCTCCATTTACATTAATGATTTAGCAACAGATGTGAAACAATTGAGATGTGGAATTACTATTGATGAAATTAACGTAGGAATATTACTCTATGCCGATGATATTGCCCTTATAGCACCCACCCCTCAAGACTTACAACACATGCTAAATAAGGTGAATGAATGGTGTCGAAAATGGAGGCTGTCTATGAACCTAAGTAAAACAAAAATTGTGCATTATAGGCCCCCCTCCCAACTACAATCAGACTTTGCATTTACGTGTGGCCAACATAACATTGAATATTCATCAAAGTACAAATATCTTGGAGTGTGGCTAGAAGAACATTTAGACTCAAAAATCATTGCTCATGAAATTGCCAAATCAGCCTCAAGGGCCCTGGGTGCAATAACAACTAAAGCAAAGGCCACTGGCGGAATGGACTTTAAAGTGTTCTCTAAGCTTTATGATTCCCTCGTCCAACCAGTGATAAACTATGGCAGTGCTATTGTTGGCCTCAGGGAGCATAGATGTCTCAATAATCTCCAAAATCGTGCTGGTAAAACATTCCTGGGAGTTAGCCCTAAAACCAGTAATGAAGCAGTCCGTGGGGACCTTGGATGGAGTCCCCTAATTGATAAACAAAGAGTGGAATGCGCTCGACAATACCTGAGGTTACATAACATGGACAATAATAGATTGAATCATAAGGTACATAGATGGTCATTAAAAAACAAAAGAAGTTGGGACTATCACACTAAAGCTATGCTGACTAAGAATGGCATTTTTATTGATCATAATATTTTCTTGCATATAAAATCAACTGTAAAACGTTTACAGGACAGTTTCAATGCAAAAGACCCCTTCTTAAAAAACATTTGGGATGATACAAATAATTTACAGAATGGCAATAAGCTTCGAACATACAGATTGTTTAAATATGGAGTAGTTAATGAACCATATGTGTCTGAATACATTCCAAGGCATCACAGAACCATTCTTGCTAGACTGAGAACAGGTAGCCTCCCACTTCACATTGAGACAGGTCGTTGGTCAAATACAGCACTAAATGATCGTACATGTAAATTATGTGATGGTAACTTTGTTGAAGATGAAATTCATTTTGCTGTCCAATGTAAACATTATTCCAACTTGAGAACACATTTTTATAGATCTGTTACTGATATTTTAACACCACATATAAGAACAAACACTGACAATGAGTTACTTTTATTTATAAGCCTAATGCATTCAAGATCAATTCAGAGACAGTGGGCTGCTCTGTTATACAAAATGTTCATGAAAAGGCAATTTGACCTGGAAAGGTTGACTGCATTATAATAATTTGCCATATTATTCCTTTGTATTGTATTTATTGCAGTGAGGGCCTAACCTCCACACCATTTTGTAGTCAAGAATCTAGTCATTATCTCACAAGATGTAAATCATTTATCATCACTTATAGATGGAATTATTAATATTTATCAATCTATGTATTAACGTAGATGAATTGTAGTTTTATTGTTGAATGTCATATCTATTTAAACAATGTTATTATTGACCTTTAAAGTCCAGTGTCTCATAAGCCGACATCGGCTGGTGGTTTTTAGAATATGTATTTATTTGTACCAAATGTAAACCAGTGACACTATAATAAACTATTTTAATAATAAAAAATAATAAATAATATAGGGTTGAGACCTCAAAACCACGGAATGCCGGAGCGGCACCCTTGGGCAACTCTCTACAAACCATTTCTTATACCCCCCTAAGAAAATCTACTGGGGGTACTATAAGACACCTTTATATATCAAACACTAATAAAGATATAGACTTGAAATTTTCAGGAATTAGTTTAAGTATGATGCTTAATCTGTATAATGAAAATCAAGAAAAAATCTTAATCTGTTGCTATAGCAACAGTTAAATAGATCACTATTAGTTACCTTAGAAATGTATTATTTTGTGGGTTTTCAGCATTTTCTTCATATTCTTGATTCTTAAACTATCTTAAACTATCTGAAGCACATAGCATGATTAGAGGTGATGATAAAATAATTCATCATATCATTTATGTAATATGTCTAACAATTCAGTTGCTATGGCAACGTCACTTGATAATCAGGTTCTTACATTTCACTTTCTTTAATGAGTATAAAGGTGGTCCAAAATAACACTTTTTCTAAAGGTATGTTCTCTAGGTAAAGAAGCTCTTTTAGAAGTAAATAGTCACTTGAATTTGTTAAAAATGTATATCTTTGAGTTGTAGAACCCCTCCCCACAGCCCCAAAAATGTGATGATTGGTGAAAACTGGCAAAAAACTTCATTTTCTAGGTTCAAATTAAAAATGCATTGGGATGCAACACTTATTAGTATTCAAGGAACATCTACTGACTTTGTCTGATATAACAATATGAAGATTTTAATTATTAGATGATGGGAAGTATTTTATTTGAAACATTTTAGAATCCTATCCCATAAAAATGTTGAAAAGAGGGTGTGGTCAATTTTACCATTTCACAGCATTTAAAGTTAGAAATATATACAAACCAAGGCATTAAAACATCTTCAAATGTTAAGTATATAGGACACTATATTTTATATGTTAATCTTGTATTTAGTACAAGTCTGAAATCCAATGCAATCATACAGTGGAGACTAGCAAGGTTTGCATATACAAGGTGTCAAAAAACAACGGCACCCCCCTCTACAGCAAAAAGTCCTTAATGTTCGATATCGTGTCATACCTCATTTGAAAGATAATTTAATTCTGGAGTTACTCATCAAATTTCATTTAATAAAACCTAATATTAAAAAAGCTACATTGTTTCAAAGTTTGCTACTTCTGTACTTTGTTTACTGCTCTGTTACTGGTTAAAAGTCAAATCGTCAGAAAGTGAAATATGAAAGATTTACCCCAGATTTCAACTGAACTGACCATATGGGTTCATTTCTGAAAAACAGGGTATGGGAACTGATGGGCAAAGAGCCTCTTGAAAAAAGACACAGTAAGGATGTATTTCTGAAGAATGTGAGGAAAGTGCGAAGAGGATTATGCAATGCTACACCTTTATGTGAATTTTTATTGAAATCATATCTGTCCAGATAAGCTGCTGTTTGAGCAGCAACTAGTGGTCATACCAACTACTAAGAATCAGATGTAAATCTGTAGAATTATATGATATAAAGCTGAAATTTCTCAGGTAACTCCAGAATAAAATTGTCTTTAAAATCCAGACATTGGAATCCTTTACAACCCATGCAGTAGAATCATTTACAATTTAGAGCCAGGGTTTTTAAAACTAGCTAAAATGTTTATTAATGAAAACAACTAAAGATGGCTTTCCATTGGTCAACCAAGCAGCAATATGCATTAAGTCTGACCAGGTTTGCCATTGCTCACAGCTGCAAGTGTGACGTGTGAACAGTTGCCGCCAACATTTGGTTCTCAACATTCGTGGTTAGATCGTCAACTTGCCACTAACTCCAGAAACCACTTACTCAACATACAATATACCAAAGATGCCACCTCACACGAGCACACTCACTCACCCAAAGATGCCACCTTACACAAGCACACTCACTCACCCAAAGATGCCACCTTACACAAGCACACTCACTCACCCAAAGATGCCTCCTCACATGAGCACACTCACTCACCCAAAGATGCCACCTTACAGAAGCATGCTCACTCATCCAAAGATGCCACCTTACACAAGCACACTCACTCACCCAAAGATGCCTCCTCACATGAGCACACTCACTCACCCAAAGATACCACCTTACACAAGCACGCTCACTCATCCAAAGATGCCACCTTACACGAGCACACTCACTCACCCGAAGATGCCTCCTTATACGAGCACACTCACTCATTAAAAGATGTCACCTTACACGAGCACACTCACTCACACTAGCTAGCTACTTTCCAACACCTGGCTCTGATGCTTCATGGTTTTATAAGGATTCTACGTATATAGTCACATGATGAGAACTAAGAGCCTTTTGCTTGTTGTGAATGACCCAGCTGAACAGCCTGGCTGTAACTGCCTGTAAGGAGTCTTGAAAATTTGAAGACATCATCTTTAGTGATTGACATTAATCTTTTTAGCAAGTTTTCAAACACCTGGCTCTGACGCCTCATAACTTATCAAGGACTCTACTATTTGTTCAGGTGATGAGAACTACCTGTAAGTGTTTTATATAACAGAAACTTTTGCCATGATTTGCACATTGACGGCCAACATGACTGACCCAACACATCAGGATACAATTGTGCATGATGACCACCAACACCTGACTAATGAGATGATATGCTTATATGTGTTGACTTTATACCAATGTCCAGATTAAGCCAACCTCTCTATTATATGGTTACACTTCATTAGATGTCATTATGATACATGTACTAAATATTAAACTTACATATAGAATTGTACTTGTGCAAGATAACAACCACAGTCTGATTGCTCGGATGAGGAAAATTAATGCTTATAATATTTATATATTATGCCAATGTCTAGACTATGCCAACCTCTATTGTAAGATTACATTAGATTTCATTATGATACATGTACTATATCTATATAAAATATACATAAGAGTTGTACTCATTCATGATGACCATCAAAGTCTGATTGCTCAGATGAGAAAAACCAAAGGTTGTAATAATTAGGCATTATGCCAATCACTAAACTATGCCAACCTCTCTAATGTATGATAACATTAAATGTCATTATGATGCATATACACTAGATATAAAACTTACATATTATATAGAACTATACTCATTCATGATAACCATCATAATCTCATTGCTCAGATGAGAAAAACTAATGGTTGTAATAATTAGACATTATGCCAATGTCTAGACTATGCCAACCTCTCTACGGTATGATAACATTAGACGTCATTATGATACATGTACTAGATATAAAACTTAAATATAAAAAAAGTGCAGTCTCCTATATACTAAATTATGGTAATGAATGAATTACAATGAATATGTTTTAAATGCATTGATCTTTTGTCTGATGAATGCTGCTAAATGATAAAATTGGCCACAACCATATTTTAACGTTTTATGGGCTAGTGTTCTAAATTATAAATACTTTCGAGTGTCAAATAATCAAAATCTTCATATTGTAATATCAAGCAAAGTCAGTAGATGTTTTTTGGATACTAATTGATGTTGAATCCCAATGCATTACTAATTTGAACCTAGGAATTGAATGTTTTTTGCCTGTTTTCCCCAAATTGTCAAACTTTGGGGGCTTTGGTAAGGGAGTAAGATAAAGTTGTAGAATTTTATTTGACTATTTACTTCAGAAGAAACATGGTTTCATCTTTAAGGTACATAATGTTCCAAAAGTGTTATTTTGGACCACTTTCATACTTATTAAAGAGGGCTAAATGTAAGAACCTGATTATCAAGTGATGTTGCCATAGCAACTGAAATGTTAGACATATTACATATATGGATTTCATGTTTCTATTGAATGCCTTATTTTGAAGTCTAGCTAAATAATCGAGTTTGATTTTAAACGTTTTCGGGGATCCGGGCAGAACTCAGGATATAGTACTTGAGTACATTTGCATTCAAAATAATTCAAAATTCAAAATTGCAAATATCATGGAAGTTGATTGCAATTATGTTCGATGATCGTCAACATGAAAGAACAATATGTCTGAATAGTTAGCTATTAAACATCTTTATCAAAACTTTCCTACACTTTTAAATGTTGATCTTGTCAAAGAGTACTCTCCATCTGAGATTCAGATGTAGATCGAAAATCAAATTGATTTCAAAGGTATTTATAGATGGTTTACATGAGGGGTTCTGTCCATGTGGGTGGTGTATTCCTTTCATAACACAGAGTTGTTTTGCTTCCGGGGTCCTAAATTATTCAATTTTAAATAGTAACTAATAAGATTAAACAGATCAAAAAGACTCGGGGCACTGCCGTCGCCCCATCATGATCAATACAGGTGACAATAAGCGACACATGTTTCAGCGTCATGATAGTAAACCATGACATCTCAAATCTTCCCAGCCCTTGATTTTTGAGATCTTTCATCCCAGCTCATATTTCATCTAATTGGGGTCATAAAACTTGTGTAACTGTGCCTGTTGCATCCTCGCTGGAAGGGTATTTTACAAGTATAAATGAAGTCCTTTGAAGAAGGATGTGCCTGTTGTTAAATACATGTACAATGCCTTACTACATTATGTAATGTATTGACATTAAGGTAGATGATTACACGATAACAATCACACTTATTGACATACTCTCTCTATCTGATATGCTCAGATCACAGAATATGCCTCATTATATCAGAGCATGTTTCAAGCGTTTCAGACCCATAGCCAGGATTTGCCAAGGGGTGGGTTACTTTTTAAAGAAATTCCAGGGGGAGTTTACTTTTGGCAATGTTAGTTCAAAAATGAGCAAAATAATTTAAAAGGTGCTCAGTATGGGGTAAAAAATGCAATTTTGGTCACGGAGGGGGGGTCGCTAGAACCAATCTATCCCCCCTGTATTCGGGCCTGCATGTGCTATCTACATATTTGACAATTGATAATTTGATTGACACGGTTCAAAGTGGACTTTGTTAATTATTCAAACTGTTTTAATATCTAGGAATATGCGTCCAAGTTAAAATCACTCGAAATCAGGGTAGATAAACACATTTCTTGTTTTCATTTGATCTTTAACATGATCCTGTAAAAATGTCAGATTTAGCAAAATACATAGGCGATCTCCATCTGCACACATCTACTCATTCCGACTAAGCTATTGCCTATACTTACACGCACACGCATACTTTTAAATTAATTTTATTTTGATAATGATTTAAAAAACACAAATTATTATTAACACGAAATTAAAATGATTGTTATATTCCAATCCTAGTAAAGTATAATTAAGCGCGACTATAGGGCATAACAACATGTGGCCAGTCTAATTATACTGTTTGTTTTGATAAGGCTGTGCAAAGAGATATCAAAACTCTTGACACGCTCTTTACACGCGAGGTCTTTGCACCTCTTGACACGTCTTGGAATCTCTAGATACGCGGAGTTCCTAGACTATCTTTGCACGTCTAGAAATTGCTTGGAATTTCACATTTGACGCAGTGAATGATATGATGAATTATTTTATCTTCACTTTTAATCATATTATGTGCTTCAGATAGTTTAAGAATCAATGATATGAAGACAATTATGAAACCACACAAAATAATGCATTTTTAAGGTAAGAAATAGTGTTCTATTACTGTTGCTATAGCAACGGATATATATTTTTTCTTAATTTTTGTTATACATATCAAACATCATACCAAGAATACTTCCTGAAAATTTCAAGTCAATATCATTATTAGTGTCTGAGATATAAAGGCGTCTTATAGTACCCCCAGTAGATTTTATTAGGGGGGTATGAGAAATGCTCTGTAGAGAGTTGCCCAAGGGTGCCGCTCCGGCATTCCGTGGTTTTGAGGTCCCAACCCTATATTCATGCTGAAAAGTTTAAAAAACATTGTAATCCGAAGAAAACGATTGATCCTCAAAATACCCCATATTTCTTCCGGACTATAAGTCCTACATTTGAGACGATTATAATCCGCTCAATATAAAATAGACAATATCATAAATTCTCCATGTGCGCCTCCTCAAACACTTTTTATAAGACGTGCTCTGATTGGCTAATCTAAACTAGGCTTAAGTTTTTGGCACCAAATTCAAAAGTTATAAAAAGTTTAAATGACCTTTAAACCTTACAATAAAGTGAAATACAAATATTAACATTAACAGCTATATGAAATAATTAAACTGGGCATGAAATATAAAAAGTAACAACCCAGGGTTGTTACACTACCGAATGTAATGTACAAATGGTAAATGTTCGTGGCAAATGCGCTTGTGCCGAGACCAATAAAGGACATTATGCCCCCCATTAATACCACTGGTCTACAGCCAAATCTGTTGGTCAGCACACTGCTTATAGGACCTAAAATGGATGCAAACTAGTATACAAGGTGTCCATGAAATCTCTTTAAAATACAATGAGCCTGTGTAAATAAACTATATGCTCACCCTGTAGATGAATGTGTGTTATTTACTTATCTCTATTGTAAAATTCATCAAAACACAAATTCACAAGAATCGATTTCAACATTCATCCACATAAAAATGTGAATACAATGTATATCCTATTTTATGAATGACATTAATATAACAGTGGCTTGGTTGGGCCCATCGAATAATCGTTGAATTACATATGTACATAGAATCAAGGATAACGTACCAACTGCATACACACTGGCTGTGTTTAATGATCCGACCAATGCAGTGGCACCCTTAGAAGTCCCAAATGCATCTAGAAATATGACAAACGTCACACCAACCGTGAAGCTTATTCCACATATCAAGGTGTGACACAGAAAGCAGGACATCACAATAATCCATGCGTATCCCTCATCTTTTTTGTCTCCATCTCTGCCTTTATTGCTGAATGTCTTTCTTTCATTATTCTGACATATGTCCTCTTTTGCTCTACAGTATGTACATCCGTTCATCTTTACCTTTGAATAGATTGTATTTCCCACTGCTGAGAAGTCCGATAGCCACCAGCTACCGAGTGAGGGTCGACTTTTGACTCAACTAACGATCTTATCTGTTTACCCAATCTTTCAAATGAGGGTTATCATTCATGATATCAATAGGCTATTCTGGACACTGTTTCTTTACTAGCTTATTTGCATGATAACTATCTCAAACTTACAACAAAGTTCGCTAGAATCTTCATACAGGGTGTCCGGAAAGTAAAGATACATATACTCTAATTTTAAGAGATCTGGGTTTTTTGTAATGAAATTGCTACAGATTGTAGAGGAATTACATTACAATATATCTACCAAATTTTATAACATATACTTAGTCTAAATGTGTATTAGTTATGGTTGTCATGGTTACAATGGTGAGGGGTATGCGGAGCAGCTCCAGGATATTGATAAATTGTGATTGCTATAGTATAACCATTTGAAATAGTGTTTATTATTGTATTTCTTATCAGTTTTCTGTTTTGATCAATATGGTATTCTTGCTGACGTAGTATGCTCTAGTATAACGATATCATTGATACATATCAGAACTATGTAATGTCACAAGTATTATCAAAGAAAAAGAGTATATAAGTGCTTAGAAAAAGGGTCCCTGGATTTATAGGAAAGTCAATAGTGCACCTCCACAGTCAATGCTCCAATAAACAAAGCAAAGAAAACAAATCTTACAATTGAATGTCTTGACATTAACCTTTTTGTACAATGGCCCATATTTCCCTGATAATGTCCTGTTGGACTTCTACATTAATGAATATGTTAAAGCAATTTGTGAGAAGTTCAACATGAAAACGAGACGGCTGGAAGCCAATGTTATCAGCAATCTCAGAGACTAACAGCAAAAGTTTTGTCAGGTCTTCAATATCTGGTCAAAATGCACCTAAAATGTTGAGATAAAGATGGAAAATACATGATACTGGATAACAGTAGTAATATCAAATGATTAAATAATCTTACAGTACTACTTTTTTTACTGTTGTGGTACATAATCTGATGTATAATAGCAACAGACGAGAGAGTGTTAAGATGATATGAACAGGAGAAAAGAATTGTAAAACATAATTGTGACACTGCTCCACACACCCGAAACTCCTCTTACCATAACAACCACAACTTTTTTATTCTGAAACAATTTTTCATAACAGTTGCAGGATAAATTGTTATCGTATGATCTGAAAAATGAAGCCCTCTGGTTGGTCAGTTCTTGTGCTGTACCAATCTGTATTGGTACTGAGATTGTCCCCGTTGATCTTCTCCGTCGCAATACAGAAAATATTGGTACGGAGGAGACAATCTCAGTAGCAATACAGAGGATAACACGATAAAAACGTATTGAGTGATTTGATGTGCAATACAGGATATATTCTGTCTCGATATTCTGTATTGGCACTCGACTTCGTCTCGTTCTAATACGGAATTTCTCGAGCAGAATATAGCCTGTATTGCACTTCAAATCATTCAATAACTTATATTACAATGTCATTCTACAATCTGTAGCAATTTCATCTCGCAACAGGTAAATCTAATGACATTAGAGCATTTGTATCTTTACTTTCCGGACACCCAGTAATATGTTACTTCACTGCTAGTTGCAGTATTCTCTAGCGAATACACACTTATAGAAGATGAATGGATGATGGATAAACAAATGGACTAGCAATATGAATTAACATTACATTATATTTCATTGTATTTATATTTGAAACTGTATGTGTTACATTAGTTCAACGTCGTTAAACTCAATAACGGCGTTATTTATTATTAAGAATTTTCTTGGGGCCATTATTGAGTTTAACCTCTTTACTATTCTTTCCATTGATGCAAGTTTTGGATCCACCGAAACAATTTTTCCGCGATAACATGCAACTGATACTTGACAACAATATAAAAACACATAACATCAAGCGATTCAACACAATATTATTGTATTAAATGGTCATTTATACAAGTAAAATGAGGTTAAACTTACTAATCTCTAAAATGACATTTCCGGCATGTCCGTCATTGTGTCTGTTCGTCCCGGGTTAAAATTTAAACTATTGAAACGAAATTGTTGTCAAATAGATTGATAATTATCACGCGATTACTCGGGATAAAATAACCATTTTTGAGGATAGCAGGTATCTTTGATTGATTTATATAGCGCTTGTATACACATAAAATAGTTATTAATTGCAAACCTACTGTTCGTTGATGCAGTGTCGCAATGACGGTTAATTCCTGATACGATTTGCAATTTCGATGTTACCAGAGCTGACCGATATTTTCGTAAAATTCCAAACCTGTCTCCAATATTTTCGTAATTATGCATCAATATGGTCTAAGGGGGGTACGGGATGGTGTGTATGTATTTATAAGGTATGTATGCATGTTTGAATCACATTCTTTATGTAATATTACCATGTTTTCGGAGTTTAATTAGTTCCGCTTGTCGGAACCTGCTGAACGACTAAATTAACGCATCAAGGGCAAAATGGTCATGGAGGTTAGACCTAGCCGGGGCCATAAGACATGTCATATAAGAAACGAGGCCCAGGCTAGGTCTAATGTTGTTGGACTAGTGTTACATATACATGTGTGTTACATGGTAAATGCAACAGTTTACGGTGTACAGGGTAAAATTACTTTGTGCAAGTTTTCCGTTTCATTTCACTATTGGCCACAATGGCCAGTGTGCAGCTTACGATTCGAAGTGATGCTGAGTCTAATGGATGTACACGTTTTTCGAACCTGGAACGAATATGAACATTTTCCAAATATATTGTTCAGCCTATAATATGTACAAGGGATAACGGAATGGACGTCACTCTGACCTATATTTTCACCAGGTATATTTTGACCTATATGTAATATAGGTCATTGTATTTAACGTGTATTATGTGGCCTTTTTGAAAGTAGAAACACTCTTTCAATACATATATTGCCACTTGATCACTATTTATTATCAAGCTCTACTACTACATGTATCTCACATCACAAAGGGCAACATAAGGAACACACCAAAACAACTCATATCATTCCATTGTACGTACATTGTTGATTATCTACAATATAAAACCATCCAGTAGTGGCATGAGATTTGGAGGCTCAAATATTCTCAAATGCAAATAACCCAAACTTATGAATGATTTCATGTGGCATACTTGATACTTGTGATGTCCACCATTGTTTCATGGATTATTTTCGTGTTTGAATTAGAGAATTACACTTCCCTCCAAAATTTAGGCAACCTTAGCCTACCAATTGGACTACGTGAACCTTTTTAATGTTCGAACTTTTTTACATAACTTGCAATGATTACAATAGGAGTGTAAACTTTATTTTATTTCCAATACCTCTTAATGTTTTCAAATTTCTTCTCAATTACAATCGGTCCAAAATTTATGACAACTTTGAAAATCGTCATTTCCATGTTCATAAACCAATGGGAAAATATAGGCAAATCAGATTTCAGGATATCTACATTTAGTAACAGATTAATAAAAAAATATTATTACATCGAAAATTGAATTTTTGAACTTTTTGCATGCTAAATGTTTAGTTTACTTTTTGAACATAAAGGTTACGCAGCTTCATTTTGAGTCATTTTTGAAAAGCACTTTTCGCCTCCTGTGTTATTTCTTGAAAAATAATTTTGACTTTGGAGACTATATTTTGTTCAACCTGGAGAAACATAAATTTTTAATAAATAGAGATTTATAGTGAAATAAATGCTTTCAATAAATTTGGTTGACACTTGGGATAATTTAAAGACTTACAGTTTATCAAAGAAAGGTCGATAATGCAGAATAAAAATAGTGACAAGAATTCCGCAACATCAATGTGTATGACACCGCTTCCTAGTCAACTCGTACCCAAGACAAGTCGTACCCAAGACAACTCGTACCCAAGACAACTCGTACCCAAGACAACTCGTACCCAAGATAACTCGTACTCAAGTTATTTCCAGTATTATGGGTGCATATTAGGAAAACAAATTGAGTTTATATAATAATGTTTTCATGTTATAATGTGACTCAAATAAGCGTCAATATTTTTTTGAATTTAGAAGACATTTTTTCTCAATGGATTAAGTAAAGCATTTTGATTTAACTTGAATCACCTTTTTTATTATAAAAGAAGTGCTTGAAGTGCTTGTTCTCAACATTTTTTGTCAAACATATATATAAATGAATATAATTACAACAGTGACTTTTCTACAAATGAATCAAACAATTAATTTAGTGCATTGAGAAAGTTTAAAGGAAGTTTAATCTGTTAATTTTTTTTCCAATTGGAACTAAATTGGATTATGTTTGAGCACATGCATACTAAGTGCAATAATATATCAAGTATGAATAAGTACCAAAATAATATTTGATATTAATATTATAAATTTTTATATATATTATATTATTCAAAATATTTTATTGCTAAATTTCATGAATATGACTTCTGATAATATGAAATCCTAGACAAATAGATTATCTAGTGTTTAATAAGAAATTAGGCCCAAGATTTGATAAATCTATACATTTATAATGATACCATCTTTCAAGATGAATTAAATCTGACACTTGTTCCAAAAACTCATAAACATACAATATTTTGAAAAATGATTATGAATGTGTGGAATAAACATATGTCTCTTCACTCGAACATTCAATATAAAATGATAGTCAAAAGCTCAAAATGTCACAAAATTAAATTAATTTCTTCTGAAAATTCTTCAAACTTCTGAACAGTATATTACAATTATAATATGTATATCTATACACATTCCCAGTCCAATGCTTGGTTCAAAACAAAATATATACTGAGGTACGAGTTGTCTTGGGTACGACTTGTCTTGGGTACGAGTTGTCTTGGGTACGACTTGTCTTGGGTACGAGTTGACCAGTTACCATGACACCGTATCAGACCATGGATTTCATGTCCGGGATCAAATATCAACAACTGTAGGCACAAAACGGCCATCAACCTTTAAGAGGTTGTCACTCTCTTCCGTTTCAGCATCAAGAATATCACCTTCACAGTTGTCCATTGGGGTTGGAATAATATTTGATTCAATTTCATGATGATTATCTGGATTATTCTTTGTTCCTCCCATAGCTACTTTAAGGTGTTTTTTGCGCCAAAACGGCACAATTATGCTTATTGCACTAGTAACAATAACGCCGCCTCCAACAATAAATGACCAGTTGTACGAATGAAGGCTGTCGTACAAGAAACCAGCGGCTGGGCCCCCAAGCATGGTCCCTAATGCGCAAAATGGAAGAATCGCACCAAGACCACTGGCTAATTCACTGGCTCCCAAGAATTCACAAATCATTCCTGGTAAAAGTACTCCATAGGATGCGCTGAAAAATCCAAATGTTGCAGAGTATGCAAGAAGCGCCCCATATTGGGTTAGAAGAGGCACAGCTATTGTAACTGCACCACTTATAAAAAATGTGCATATATAAAGAAGCACTTCATCTGTTAATGGATGGTGGCCAATTGCTCCAAAAATAAATCGTCCGGCGAGATTTGTAATTCCAACAACAGAGAACAACATGAAACTTTCGTTACCACCTATACCCATTAGTAAGGAGTATTCCGACAGATGCGAATACACTACAGATATTCCAAAACAGATTGCTACATTATTATAGCATAATATATCAAAATCCAACGATTTAAATATGGCAAAGTTAAAAAGTTTTTCCTCTTTTGTCATGCTAGATTCCCTTTCTATTTTCAGTGTTGAGTTATTTTTAAATGGACGCATAAATGCACCGCATGCACAGATGTTCAATCCAATGGCTGACAATATGGTCAAAGCCCCACGCCAACCGTATTCCTTATTGAGGAACTCGATCAATGGCGGGTATATAAATGAACCGCATCCAACACCAGATACTGCAATCCCAAAGGCAAATGTCTTTTTCTTGTCAAAATGTTGGTTAATTATCACCATAGCTGGGAGATACGCTAGCCCCAACCCACTTCCTGCAAGTAAATCACTCAGGTATAACAAATATAATTGAATTTCGCACAATTTATGCCCGAATTTATGGCACTGGTTAAAATTCACAATTGTTGGATTTACACTAGCGCGCTAAGACGTCTTAGCTAAAACGTTTTACATATGTAATATAAATCCATTGTGGGATCCACAGCCTTTACTATCCTTTTGGAATAGTTCTCTCAAAAGCGTTATGTAAAGAGGGACTCTGATAAATCAGAATGTATAAATCCAGATTTACCCAAGAGCTCTCGGCTAAGAGCGCTTAGCTAAAACGTTTTAGGACCCTAGTCATTCCCAAGACGTCTTGGCGTAAAAACGTTTCACAAACGAGTGCAAATCCATCGGTTTTAACTAAGAGCTCTTAGCCCGGTTTTTGCGTTTGTCTCGAACGAATGAAACATTTGAAACGTTCCATTTACATATGTCGCATGGTCCTTTATTTTGTCTTATCCCTTGTTCCCAATACCATCCCCAAATTATTGAGAAGAACTTATTGTTGCCTGTCGATTTATCATAATCCTAATTTATGCATAAAATCTTCCTGCTCTCTTTCATGCTTGTAACAAAGCTGTCTTTAGGACATATTTTTCTGAAACTGATACATTCTTTAGTACAAAGTCGGGTACAAAGTATAGAAGAGGGAAAGGAATAGCTATATTGACTGAACCGTCCTTCAACCAGTGCTGAACTGCTCTTTTCATTTTACATGTTTACCTACATATCTCTGAGACGTTTTAGGAAAATAGGTGTAAACTCGATCTTATTTCCTCAGACGTTTTGAAAATGATAATTACACGTCGCACGAAACTGGGGACAATTAGAGTAACATTATGGCGTCAAAATACCAAAACAATACAATGGGCAGTATAGGGCGCAATCAGCATTATAACGTCAAAAACGACAAGCGATACATTTTGTCAAGTTTAGTCAACCTAAAAATAAGATGCTTTATTCTTATTCAATCCTGGTAGAATTAACATAGCAACAAGATCTCGAGGACAATATTTCTAAAATGTTTTTGATTTTTGAAAAACGGTCAGGAAGTCCACTCGGGGCGTTAGTAAAAATTGATATGTATGGGATTTGTGGTAAAAAATCGATGCGTTACATTTTTTCAAGTCTCTAAAAGCAACTCTTATTCTTTTATTATTTGAAAAATAAAGAAATCGGTTATTGTTTTGTAAATTTCGCCATGACAATATTGTGCAGTTAAATTTTTTTTGAAATCAGACCTAAATTAGAAGGTTAAATAAAGGTAAACTTATTGCTTGTCTCCTTCGCCTTCAAAACCTTACACAATTTTGAAAATCTTAAAAGCGTTCATATAAGACGATTTTAACTGTAGCCGCTAGGCAATTGTGACTTCATAAAAGCACATGTTTCAATGAATAAAATGTGAAATTTTAGTAAAATTCTGATCAGTATTTCAAAAGTTATCCCGATTTCAACGAACCGTGTAAGCTTGAAATGTTACGCCTTACAGCGTATTTGACGATGTCGGAGTACATTTAACTTCAAAAATATGGTACATCCTATCACACTTTCCATGGAAAAATAATTTCAGTGAAAAGCGAATAAAAAATACTTCAAAATGATATATAATGCACATAGTTAGCTTTTTAAATAAGGCAGATATTAACGCTTAAAGCTGAGATTACCCCGTATTTCCCGAATTGTCCCCAGGTCCATGCACGTCATAAATGTAAACTCAACTTAATTTTTCAAAAACGTTTTAGCCAAAACGTCTTGGAATGCTGCGCGTTTTGTAAATTGGGCTAATGGGGTAATGGCAACGTTATTTTAGACTAGTATAAAGATGGCAGTATAGTACGGGCTCAATACAAACAGGTTGATTGCACTGCCATCTTTTAATGAATGTCACTTCTATTGGCCCTTAGTCTATGCATCTGTGCCTGAAGATATTTTTAATTGGTTTGCATTACGAAAAACTCCTACCTGTTATGATACCGAATGTAATGTACAAATGGTAAATGTTCGTGGCAAATGCGCTTGTGATGAGACCAATAGAGGATATTATGCCCCCCATTAATACTACTCGTCTACAACCAAATCTGTTGGTGAGCAGACTGCTTATAGGACCTAAAATGTATGTAGACTAGTATACAAGGTGTCCATAAAATCTCTTTAAAATACAACGAGCCTGTGTAAAGTGTAAAGAAACTATATGGACACCCTGTATATTATGTGTGTTATTAACTTATCTCTATTGTAAAATTCATCAAAACACAAATTCACAAAAATCGATTTCAACATTCATCCACATGAAAATGTGAATGGGAAGTATATCCTATTTTACGAATGACATTGATATAACAGTGGCTTGAGTGAGGTCATCGAACAATCGTTAAATTACACAGGTCCATAGAGTCAAGGATAACGTACCAACTGCATACACACTGGCTGTGTTTAATGATCCGACCAATGCAGTGGCACCCTTAGAAGTCCCGAATGCATCTAGAAATATGACAAACGTCACACCAACCGTTAAGCTTATTCCACATATCAAGGTATGACACAGAAAGCAGGACATCACAATAATCCATGCGTATCCCTCATCTTTTTTGTCTCCATTTTTTTGTCCTCTTTTGCTCTACAGCATGTACATCCATTCATTTTTACCAGTGTGAGCAGTAGTATCGTCTGCTTTTGTTAGTGCGGTGCTGTCGTCTCCTTTTGTTAGTGCAATGGTGTCATCTGCTTTTATGAGTGCGATGGTGTCGTCTGCTTTTGTTAGTGCGGTGTTGTCGACTGCTTTTTGTATTGTCGTCTGCCTTCTTTGTTGCTTGGTGTTATGCGTTAGAAGATGAATGGATGATGGGTAAACAAATGAACTAGCAATATGAATTAACATTACGTTATATTTCATTGTATTTATATTTGAAAATGTATGTGTTACATATACATGTGTGTTACATGGTAAATGCAACAGTTTACGGTGTGCAGGGTAAAACTACATACTTTGTGCAAGTTTTCCATTTCATTTCACAATTGGCCAGTGTGCAGCTTACACAATGTGAAGTGATGCTGAGTCTAATGGATTGTACAAGTTTTTCGAACCTGGAACGAATATGAACATGGTCCAAATATATATATATATTTAGCACTATAATATGTACTTGGGATAACGGAATGGAAGTGAATGATCAATTGTAAAAGGTCATTCTGACCTATATTTTCACCAGGTATATTTTGATCTATATACTTAAATGTAGGTCATTGTATTTAACGTGTATTATGTGGCCTTTTTGAAAGTAGAAACACTCTTTCACACGGTATACATATATCACGGTGTGTATATTGCCACTCGGTAACTATTTATTATCACGCTCTACTACATGTATCGCACATCACAAAGGGCAACATAAGAACACACCAAAGCAACTCATATCATTTCATTGTACGTACATTGTTGATTATCTGCAATATAAAACCATCCATTAGTGGCATGAGATTTGGAGGCTCAAATATTCTCAAAGGCAAATAACCCAAACTTATGAATGATTTCATGTGGCATACTGGATACGTGTGATGTCTCTATATCACATAAAGTCGGTGAACATGTCCACCATTGTTTCATGGATTATTTTTGAATTTAGGCAACCTTAGCCTGCCAATTGGACTACGTGAGCCTCTTTAATGTTCGAACCTTTTTTTTACATAAATTGCAATGAATACAATAGGGGTGTAAACGTAACTTTATTTTATTTCCAATACCTCTAAATATTCCCAAATTTCTTCTCAATTACAATCGGTCAAAAATTTATGACAACTTTGAAAATCGTCATTTCCATGTTCATAAACCAATGGGAAAATATAGGCAAATCAGATTTCAGGATATCTACATTTAGTAATAGATTAACAAACAAAACAATTTACATCGAAAATTGAATTTTTGAACTTTTTGCATGCTAAATGTTTAGATCACTATGTGAACATAAAGGTTACATAGCTTCATTTTTGAGTCATTTTTGAAAATCACTTTTCGCCTCCTGTGTTATTTCTTGAAAAATAGTTTTGACTTTGGAGACTATGTTTTGTTCAACCTGAAGAAACATCAATTTTTAATAAATAGAGATTTATAGTGAAATAAATGCTTTCAATAAATTTGGTTGACACTGGGGATAATTTAAAGACTTACAGTGTATAAAAGAAAGGTCGATAATGCAGAATAAAAATAGTGACAAGAATGACGCAACATCAATGTGTATAACACCGTATCAGACCATGGATTTCATGTCCTTGATCAAACATCAACAACGGTAGGCACAAAACGGCCATCAACCTTTAAGAGGTTGTCACTCTCTTCCGTTTCAGCATCAAGAATATCAAGTTCACAGTTATCTATCGGGGTTGGAATAATATTTGATTCAATTTCATGAAGGTTATCAGGATTATTCTTTGTTAGTTCCATAACTACTTTAAGGTGCTTTTTGCGCCAAAATGGCACAATTATGCTTATTGCACTAGTAACAATAACGCCGCCTCCAACAATGAAAGACCAGCTATACGAGTGAAGGCTGTCGTACAAAAAACCAGCGGCTGGACCGCCAAGCATGGTTCCTAATGCGCAAAATGGAAGAATCGCACCAAGACCACTGGCTAATTCACTGGCTCCTAAGAATTCACAAATCATTCCTGGTAAAAGTACTCCATATGATGCGCTGAAAAACCCAAATGTTGCAGAGTATGCAAGAAGCGCCCCATATTGGGTTAGAAGAGGCACAGCTAATGTAACTGCACCACTTATAATAAATGTGCATATATAAAGTAGCACTTCATCTGTTAATGGATGGTGGCCAATTGCTCCAAAAATAAATCGTCCAGCGAGATTTGTAATTCCAATAACAGAGAACAACATGAAACTTTCGTTACCACCTATACCCATTAGTAAGGAGTATTCCGACAGGTGCGAGTACACTACAGACATTCCAAAACACATTGCTACATTATTATAGCATAATATATCAAAATCCAACGATTTAAATATGGAAAAGTTAAAAAGTTTTTCCTCTTTTGTCATGTTATGTTCCTTTTTTATTTTCAGTGTTGGGTTATTTCTAAATGGACGCATAAATGCACCGCATGCACAGATGTTCAATCCAATGGCTGACAATATGGTCAAAGCCCCACGCCAACCGTATTCCTTATTGAGGAACTCGATCAATGGCGGGTATATAAATGAACCGCATCCTACACCAGCTACTGCAATCCCAAAGGCAAATGTCTTTTTCTTGTCAAAATGTTGGTTAATTATCACCATAGCTGGGAGATACGCTAGCCCCAACCCACTTCCTGCAAGTAAATCACTCAGATATAACAAATATAATTGAATTTCGCACAATTTATGCCCGAATTTATGGCACTGGTTAACATTCACAGTGGCAACGTTATTTTAGACTAGTATAAAGATGGCAGTATAGTGCTGGCTCAATGGCTCAATACAAACAGGTTGATTGCTTTTACTGCCATCTTTTAATGAATGTCATTTATATTGCCCGTTAGCCTATGCATCTGTGCATGAAATGTAAAAATATGATAAAGAATGTTATCAAGGACAATTCTGACCTTAACCTTTGATTTTCAAGACGAGGTCAGACTTTCAATTTTTTGTTTTTATTATTTTATTTAGTTCCATTGACCTAGCATGTGGATATTATCATTTATCCCACGATTAATGTGTTATCTGTACAATAACAGCTATTGATATTTCTGATATCATTGAAATCCGTGTGATATTTTCCAGAAAATCGTTTATCAAACTCATATGCGTGTGATATCGTTTATCTCACGCATATCCGTGTGATATCACATTTGCATTTCGCGCCACAATATTGTTGGAAATTATAGGTCAGATAATTTATTCTCTTTTGAGAAAATAGGTCTGCCAGTGTCCTGGAAATTGGATCAGAACATCACAAGGTGATTGTAATCATGGGATAAACCCAATATCACATAATTTCTCGTGATATCATTTTATCGCCTCGTAGATATCAAATATCAACACTCATTCGCTTCGCTCACTCGTGTTGATATTTGATATCAACTCGGCGATAAAAATGATATCACTCAAAATGATGTGGTATTCTGTATGCATTGACTTGATGATATCCTGATGTTAAGTACATTGTTCAAAATTTCAAATGAACTGGGGATGATGCTACTTCTAAACAGCCTTATCTTGACATTCTAGGCAGGAAACCAACTTCCCCTATGTTATTATTCAACTGTATAGTTATATTCTTAATCCACTTTGTACATTTGAAGTGCTGGTATAGTTGATATATATAATATATCAATTTCAACCTCACTTTTACGGTGCTTCTGCAGGCCTAAGCCACACTAATTTCATCACTAAATTGTGCCCTTGGTAATGCTGTTTATATTGAGGCATAAATAAGAGTGTCTTAGGCCTGCGGAAGCAATGAACCATTCAAATATATAGTCTGCCTCAATACATCAAGTAATGCCTTGGTCACATTTGCTCCGATTTTCACTACGGCGCCCGGCCGATTGAGTATTTTGTTCAAAATTGAATACAATATTGAGCTAAACACTCAATCGGCCGGGCGCCGGCCGATGGATCGGAGCAAATGTGACCCAGGCATAAGTGAAAACACACACAGCATGGTACAAAAAGTAGGTCACATTTGATTGCATCCAATTAATATAAGATTAGAGTGCCTCCAAACTATAAGGTATGCATAAATCTTGATATTGTTAGATAATTGAATGTGAATATATTCGGCCTCAGAAAAATGACAATTAAAAGAAAAGTACACACTTTTGGCAAAGAAATGATACACTCTTGGAATTGCCTGAAAACATATTCTTCATCCTCCGACCTCAGGGCTTAATGACAGATTCTTTAATAATTTGACCTGTTTTAAACTGGTTTGCATAACGAAAAATTCCTACCTGTTATGATACCGAATGTAATGTACAAATGGTAAATGTTCGTGGCAAATGCGCTTGTGCCGAGACCAATAGAGGAAATTATGCCCCCCATTAATACCACTGGTCTACAGCCAAATCTGTTGGTCAGCACACTGCTTATAGGACCTAAAATGTATGCAGACTAGTATACAGGGTGTCCATAATAATGAGCCTGTGTAAAGTTTAAAGAAACTATATATGTGGACACCCTGTATATGAATGTGTGTTATTAACTTATCTCTAATGTAAAATTCATCAAAACACAAATCCACAAAAATCGATTTCAACATTCATCCACATAAAAATGTGAGTGGGAAGTATATCCTATTTTACAAATGACACTGATGTAAAGTGGCTTTAGTGGGGTCATCGGACAATCGTTAAATTACACATGTACGTAGAGTCAAGGATAACGTACCAACTGCATACACACTGGCTGTGTTTAATGATCCGACCAATGCAGTGGCACCCTTAGAAGTCCCGAATGCATCTAGAAATATGACAAATGTCACACCAACCGTGAAGCTTATTCCACATATCAAAGTGTGACACAGAAAGCAGGACATCACAATAATCCATGCGTATCCCTCATCTTTTTTGTCTCCATCTCTGTCTTTATTGCTGAATATCTTTCTTTCATTATTCTGACATATGTCCTCTTTTGCTCCGCAGCATGTACATCCATTCATCTTTACCAGTGTGAGCAGTAGTATCGTCTGCTTTTGTTAGTGTGGTGCTGTCTGCTTTTGTTAGTGCGATGGTGTCGTCTGCTTTTATGAGTGCGGTGTCGTCTGCTTTCGTTAGTGCGGTGTTGTCGACTGCTTTTGGTATTATCGTCTGCCTTCTTTGTTGCTTGGTGTTATGCTTTAATCTGTTTACGAAGATGAATGGATGATGGATTAACAAATGAATTAATAATATGAATTAACATTACGTTATATTTCATAGTATTTATATTTGAAACTGTATGTGTTACCCGTATGTTACATGGTAAATGCACCCGGGGGGGGGGGTACTAAAATTCCTAGATGTGGGTCCCATTTTGAAGAAAAAAAACTAGATATCGGTCCCATTTTGATGAAAAATCTCCCTAGAACTGAGTCAATTTTTTGAAAAATCCTAAAACTGGGTACTGTTTTTGAAAAAATCGCCGGAAGTGGGTCTTGTTTTTTCAAAATTACCTTGAAGTGGGTCTATTTTTGAAAGAAAACCCCTAGATTTTGGTCCAGAAAAAATCCATAGAAGTTTGTAGATATTTTGAGTCTCAGCTGCACCCCCTGTATAAAGATTTGACCAGTACCCCCCCCCCCCACCCCCTCGCCCCCGGGTAAATGCAACAGCTTACGGTGTACAGGGTAAAATTACATACATGTACTTTGTGAACGTTTTTCGTTTCATTTCAATTGGCCAGTGTGCAGCTTACGATGCCATGTGATGCTGAGTCTAATGGATCGTACTAGTTTTTCGTTATCCTGTTCCCGGACTATAGTCCTGTACGGAGCCAATACATTTGCCTGTACGATTACAACTTGGGAGAATTATCTACGCCCCTTCCACTTAAGAAACCTACCTCAATGCATTCTAGAACTCAAAATGTAACTTCTAATATATTGGAACCGCCGATTGTCTGGGTTAGTTGGCAGAACGAGGTCTTTTTGTTTCTTATGGCTCTTTTGGTCGAAGTTCGATTAAGATGGCGGTTATAACGGAATTTCCCGAACTCTTCCGTAATAGCACGAACTTGGTTTTTCGTTACTTCACTTCCATGTAAAATGGATTTGTTTCCGGTAAGAAACATTGTTTAACCATTCGGTATACAGTTAAGAGCATAGGATGTCGACATGGCAGTAAATATTGAAAATATTGTCCGAAATTTTCGAAATTCCCTCTTACCCGAAACAAATCCATTTTACACGGAAGTGACGTAACGAAAAACCAAGTTCGTGCTATTACGGAAGAGTTCGGGAAATTCCGTTATAACCGCCATCTTAATCGAACTTCGACCAAAAGAGCCATAAGAAACAAAAAGACCTCGTTCTGCCAACTAACCCAGACAATCGGCGGTTCCAATATATTAGAAGTTACATTTTGAGTTCTAGAATGCATTGAGGTAGGTTTCTTAAGTGGAAGGGGCGTAGATAATTCTCCCAAGTTGTAATCGTACAGGCAAATGTATTGGCTCCGTACAGGACTATAGTCCTGGAACGGGATAAGTTTTTCGAACCTGGAACGAATATGAATATGGTCCAAATATTGATATTTAAGCACTATATATGTACATGGGATAACGGAATGGACGTGAATGATCAATTGTAAAAGGTCACTCTGACCTATGTTTTCAAAATATAGGTGATTGTATTTAACGTGTCCTTTTTGAAAGTAGAAACACTCTTTCAATATTGCCACTCGGTCACCATTTATTATCACGCTCTACTACATGTATCTTACATCACAAGTGGCAACATAAGAAAACACACCAAAATAACAACTCATATTATTCCATTGTACGTACATTGTTGATATCTGCAATATAAAACCATACAGTAGTGTGATTTGAAGGATGAAAGAATGAAATTCCGTGATCCTTGCGTTGACTTTCTCATAATCAATGGGGCTTGGGTATTTGAAAAACCATTGTTGAAATGCCCATCTTAGATCGTCCATTTTTAGAATACCCATCTAATCGTTGTCACTAAGCATATGCTAGGCGTCGACTGTTTCTCTAGTTCACATGGACGTCTTTCTAAAACTCCACATCACGAACACTCCAGGCCCTATAGACGTTGAAAATATATAAATATTATCCTATATATCCTCTGAAAATGGAACCAACGTCACACTATAAAAGATATGAAAAATAATCATCTTTAACTTCTTTCTTTGCCTCTATAACTATGTCACCGCTATATTTCATCTTGATTCACAAGGTTTCGATTGTTACCTCTTACGAATGTTCCTATCTATCTCTAGACCCAGTGGAAAGCGACGATGGCTATATTCAATAACAATATTCCAAGAATACATGTATGGTTAACCTATTCCCTTATTGTCAGCATTGTGCACACTTACTGGTATTCTCCAGCATAAAAAACAGCATAAAACCTATATAATATTCATCGTTTTAATACTACCACTACTGTGTTTTTTATTTGAGGTCAATTCTGATCGTGCGATTTTGCACTGTGTACTTTCACAGCTGAATCCTGACTATTAAAGCAGTCGGTTTCCAATATTTACGAAAATAAACCGAATATACGCAAACTTTGCAACCTTGCATGCAAATGTCACTATGTTCGTTAATTGCACCATTGCTCAATTCTGGAATATTTGCTGGTTTACTAAATATTTCAACATGTTTAATAATATACTTCTACCAGCTGTTATGATTTACAATGCTACTATACAGGGTATCCATAAAGTTTCTTTGCAATTACAATCAAATGCCTCCAACACTTGTAAAGAGACTTATGGACACCCTGTATTTCTACATCATCAAATATAAAGGGCATTGATTAGTCAGTGGTCTTGCCTGGAAGCCACATTCCTTTTAGGATCCTTTAGTGAGTGCCTGGAGCTTCTTATAAACCCTGTTCTAATCCATAAGTAAATTTGTTTACTTTTTGTTTACATTTTGTCAATGAATATGTTTTATGCATATCCCTCATGCACTGTCTATTATGCTTTGACAGCTTTTCATTATTCTATTGATCGATATAATGTCTCAACTAAATTCTCCAATCGCGAGGATCATAATGCAGATCGTATGTTTTCTGTACTAGGGCATAATATCTTAGCAGTTCAGCAGCTGGAATCAGAGTTTCCTCATAGTATAGATCACAAAGAGATAATTGAAAGTCATCTCGGTCCAAGCTCGTAATCAATACTTAATGAACTATTTGGAGCTCAAGGCCTTGATAAACTCCATTCATGACAAGAAACGATGGTATACCGACTACTATTTTTCATTTACTATAATTAAAATTGATTTTCTAGACAATATAATCGATAGTTTCCTTGGATTGCATGCGTCGGTGATCATTATTGCTAATTAGACAGTCAAGAAGGCCATTTCGATATTTTTCCAATTTCCGTATTGAAAAGACAAAAACACTAAAAGGGACTCTTGTGTAACGCGAATTAACAGATAAAATACTGACGAAATGTTAAACAAATCCGAACTTTTTGATCCTCAATGGAGTATTTGCCAGTTCCAGATAGTGCTGAGTCGATATCTTGCATATATTGGTAAACTGTTACACTGTGCAAGGGCGTTACAATACCCGAGAATTTATCGGTTCGTGCAGTACTTGTTTGTGATAGCGCCCTCTGTAGGTCACTGTGCTCATAGCCTACAGTAATACGGGGTAGGATATCGGGAATTCGGTCAGTTTCTCTCCGTCGATTTCGCTATGAATTGAAGCAAGTGTGACCACTTTATCCACTTAACACCCATTCTCAATAAGAATGCAAAATAGGTGACCCAGGGCTCAATCTCAGCATTTACATTACCAACATCACTTTTTGTTGTATATATAAATAATATATATGACCCTCTACCTAGCACGTTTGTAATATATGATTTCTCAGTTACACATATTTTATTATATGTACTAGAATAGGGCTATTCATCAGTTACGTGACTGTCGCCATATCAAAAATCAGGATTGTATGGTGCCATTAGAGAATTTTTCATGCATAACATCCCATATAAAGTGGTGTATTATACACAAGACGATCCCAGCTTCTGGTTAAATGACAGAAACTATCATTTTGACATTTTTACCATGTTGAAACTGTTCCTTGACCAATGTCGCCAGACTTTTTTATATCAACCCCCCTGTACTATAAATCAAATAAAAACTGGTGAAAAATTAATGTTTCATATGTGCCATATACGTATCTGGATTCCAATTTGAATACTTAATAGAAAGTCGTAAAAGTTGATATTTGAAACGTTGAGATTTTGGGGCCAGAAAATTATAATTCCCGTTTTTCATGAAGTTATAGATAAGAAAATCATTTACGTGATCATAGTTTTCACAGGCAATAAGTGTCTGAGCAAATTAATGTTATATCACCTTATTGTATGGTAGGAGTGATCCTTGTTGATCAGTATTTTTAACGAAATTGACATTGTTTGAATCTAATACAGCCAGCAAAAGGGTATTTGCATCATTTACGACACCATCATTTACGATACCTAGTAGTACGAAAATAACGGTTACCATACTCCTAGCTCTGAATAAAGTTTATAAAGCGGGAAATTTGAGTATTCATATTCATTTGAATCTGAATAAAGAAACACTACCACCTTTGTAGAGTAAATCCACACAATTTAAGGTATATATCACACCTAATATAGTATCTCTCTTGTAAAACGAAGATGTAGTGTTAATTTGATGTTATCTATGGCATAAAGACAGTCAGTATAAATGTGAAAATGAATATAAAAACACTTTTCTATCATTCAATTTGAATTGAAGCTATAGTCTTGCGTTTTCTATGTCATAAATTACGTTACCATAGGTAACGTAATTGATAAATTCTATTGCACACATTTTCTGTCGTCAAATCTTTACAGGTATGTTCATTTATCAACTTGTATACTTTTCGTAGATGGGAAAGCATCCTGCTGAAATTCAAAAAGACTATCGTGATAGGAAAAAAGCACCAAAAAGAGCGTGCTCGGGTTCATAAATGCATTGTCTCAATAGCTGAGTGCACTATCTGAAAAAGATAAAGACCATAAAAGAAAAAATTATGGCATTGCGCTCGAGACATGTTATGTTAGTCTCAGATAGCGTAATAATACAGGAGGCAAATCAAAAAGAAGAGAGACTGTTAGCAATGACCCAAGTAATGCCGATAACAATGATTGTGACCGTGTTTATGGCAGTGGTACAAGTAACACACAATTAATAGTTCATATAAATTTTGCCTGGAATTTTGCAAGAGGACATGCATGGCTCTTTAAAGAACGGATAAGTAGAACTTGGGGACGTACGTACCCATAAAAAAACAAAGCTCCCTGAACATAGATAAACATGGAAAAAACAATGACAAATCATTCCAAAGGATCTTACAGAAGCAGAGAAAAATAGAACCAAGGGTCCAAGCACGCCAAAACACCAAAGAGTGCAGGGGAAAAGTGATGCGATGCAAACTTTAACATAGTGATATCCCTAGAGTTGAGGAGAAGATTAGTACGAGGAAAACACGTAGTTGAAGAGTTGAAGCAGACGCAACATGACTGGCGTGGAAATGCCTGAAAGAGTGTTCAAGTCTAGTTGATATAATATGACTGAAGGCGATGGAAGGTGATACAAGCTTAAGGGCCTTGCTTGGCTGGACAAAAATGAAATGAGTACTCGACGTTTACCACAAGAAAAGGAATATAAATTTGTTGAATCAAATAAACAGTGTTAAAAGCGCCCCTCACAAAAGTGAAACAAACCAGGAATGACATACAAGAAGAGACAACATAGCTATCCAAGAGTATTCTGACAGGGCCATCATGCAGACTGAGAGTGGAGATAAAGAGCTACATCTTGGCGATTTTTTTCACTGCAGTTTACAATTACTGTTGGTATGCCGAAAAGACACTTCATGTAGATACTGATGATAATAAATACTATTTTTTAAGAAAAGAAGAATCTCCAATGGTCTCTAGAATGTTACGTTATTTGGCTGAGAGTCTCAGATGTTGAGTGTGTAGTAGAGGAGTCAATTCCAACAGGGAAGTTTAAAGGGCTATTAAACTCTAGATCTGTGTCCTGAGATTCAAACTCGTGTTCTATTGGATTTATATGTCCAAGCTAGGATTAAGTAACGTTTTCAGGAGTTCATATGTACCTATGATATTAGAGGGAGACACTGAATGTTGTTACTTTTTGACGATAATCACAAATTATATAGTATAGTTTTGATCTTGCGATTGTAAGTTTTGTAATCACTTACGTTACAAAGGATTTAGCATTACAATTGTGTGAAGAAAGACTAAGTCCCTTTAATCCTGTATATATTCATTCCAACATATAGCGTATGTGACAATATATTAATTCATTACGTGTTTTGTGCATAAATAATGTTTGTGTTAGCTTTAATGTTTCTATTGCAAAAGTTGGTCAATTTCTCCATCATTTACGTTACTTGATGGTCCACTGAACTATGTTTGTTTTAAATGTTACTATTGGTTAAAATGCAGTGTAAACATGATAAAAGAAGCACCAGTTGATGGTTTCACCATGATCACATATGATATGACTCATTCTACGATGTTACTATTTTTGGATCATATACGTTACCAAGGGTGTAACGATATACAAATTTCAAATAAATTTTGTATGGCATAGCAAACACCAAGATATGGCTATCAATTGATTCTGAACACTATTTCGAATCAGAAAAGAAAGATAAATTTAATGTTAACAGACTGATTTTCTATAAAATTGGAATGACATGTAGCACTTAGGTTTTGTTTCTGAAAAGGAATAATAAGTCACATGTAATTGTTGACTTCAATGTGAATTCTTTCCACTTATGTCTCTTCAAAATGCTTGATGTATGATTTAGTATTAAGACAAAATATATCCTTATTGTTAGAAACAAAAACAGACATGAGAATAATATGTTGAATGAAAATATAGGTCTCTTGCTACGACAAC